GAATGAGGAGGCTATGCTTTTGGAAAATGCTGGCTGATCGCCCATTCATCTGTCTACTTCTCTCTTAGGAATCACTTTACACAATCATCAATCTGGGGAGGTGTACCATCCTGCATGAAAATTACGTCCTGAAGGCATCCATGCTAAGTTTTCGGATTGCAAAATCCCTCAACATGTCATGATATCGTCCTTTTACGGAACAGGTTTTAATACTATTTGCAGTTATCTCTTCAAAAAATACACTCCAGTGGTAAAGGTAGACATAAAACCACACCATACTGCCCCTTTTTCAGGACACAAGGTTTCTTGGCTAGCATGAGGGTTTTCTGCTGCCCAACTTCGACAATTGTTGGTTGTACTTGTTAATGCTGTCAAGACAGCTGTTGACGCACAGTCACAGACATAAGAGTTTGGGAGCAGTAGTGCGCATGCAGTCTCTCGACAGACAGGCTATTCTTACAGCACCATCCAAAAAGTACTCAGAAACATAATTCAATACTTCCCATACAAGATCCACCATACCCAGGAGATGCTTGATAAAAACAAGCCACAACTTCTCTCATTCGCAGTCAATTTTCTCAACAAAATGACTGTTGATCTGTCATGTCCTTGGAATATTCCGTTGAGTGACGAGACTCATTTTTACTTCAATGAGACACTCAACACACATAATTGCCACATTTGGGCTAAGGAAAATCCGTGGATCCACACTGAAATTCCCCTACATTCTCCGAAGGTCACTGTCTGGTGTGGATTCACAGCAACATTCATCCTTGGGCTATTCTTCTTTGAGGAAATCACAGAACGTGGGCCTGTCACATGTTCCATTACGGGCCGTCAGTACCAAGACAGGCTGCAGACAATTGTTGGGCTGCAACTACAGCAAAGGTGGGTCCTTACATCGACCATTTTCATGCAGGATAGTGAGCCACCACATATCCATGGGTCCGTGAAGATGCTAGTGCTCCAACACTTCGCAGAGGAACATATTATTAGTCTTTCCTTTCCTAATCTTTGGCCACCATGTTCTCTTGATTTAATTCCATGCAATTTCTGGTTATGGGGCTATTTAAAAACTCTGGTGTACCCTGGAGATGTTGCGACGTTGAATGACTTAGAAAGAACTCCATAACGCTTCGTGTGCGAAGCCTCACAACTGATCTCTTATGATCTGCTTTTGAACACAGGTCCATTGACTTGAAATTTTGCAGGTGAATGAGAGTGGTCACATGAAGCATTTTTCTCTACATCATCCTGGACACGATTAACAACTGCTCCTGTTGTACAATTTCGTCCTAATTTGTTCTTGTATCGGCAAACTGAACCATTTTTGTTTCTCGCTTAACTTTACTTAATGTGGTTCGATGAGAAGGTGAGCAGAAACTAGTCAATAAATGTTAATATTGTTTTTGTATTCCATTTTGGTCGTTTATCGTGTTAAATTTCATGTTTTTCCTGAAAAGGCACCCTCTGGTGGACATTTTGGAACTAAAATTTTTTTTTGGAATCCCATGATCACGTCTTGTGTATAGCCCAAATAAAAATTTTGTTGCATTCTGTTCACATGTTTGCATTGTAGGATTCCGTTTATAGGGAAAGTTTAGTCATAATCACCCAGTATATTCAACTTTTAGTACCTGTTCCCATTTGCCCTTTTGAGAATTTTTTTCCACCTTTAATATTTAATCTATTAATAAAATAATTTCGCATATCGCTCCCAATTAAAATGAGGCAATAGTAATACCCTAAACAATTTTTCCTGTGATAGGATAATCTTTTTAACACCATTTTTTTTAAAATAATTTCTTATGTGATGTTGTAGTTTTTGAGGAGGATAGAACAAATTCAGTCTTGCGCCATAGTCAAAGTGGTAATTGATCTTTGAATAATCGCAATATATCTTTATTACTTGACGATTATACTGTTCAAACATCATATTGAGTAGCCAAGCATAATATGGGTGATCTGGTCCTAAAAATTTTTAAATACACAATTTTTTTTTTTTTTTTTTTTTTTTTTTTTTTTTTTTTTTGGAACAGCTGAGAAAGAAGACCAAGTGAGAGATGCTGTTTCTTCAGTCAGCAGCAAGTAAGGAATATGTATTGCACAGTAATTGTGGTCATATTTATAAGCAGGAAAATCTTTCAATCCTGAGCTGTGATTGGACAAAAGTTTGCAGAAATGCAGATACTGCAGGGGAAAAGCAGATGCCTTGAAAAGCTTTAATTAATAATTTAAAGGTTTATTGTCAGTTTGTTCCAGTTAAGTTTAATAATTTTATTCCTTTTTTTATATTTTATATACATACATATATATACATTGAAGAGCCGAAACATTATGACCATCTATTCAGTAACACATTGTGCAACCTTTGGCATGCAAAACAGCTGCAACTCGCCATGTCATGGATGCCACAAGTTCTTGGTAGATGACTGGAAACAGGTTGTATCAAATGTCTAAGCAGCTGGCTCCCAAAGTCAAGGTATTCTGACATGGTGGTGTTTGAGTTCTGAGGTTCTGCCGTATGACATCCCAAGTGTGCTCTGTCGGGTTACGATTCGGTGAGTTAGATGACCGGGACATTAATTGGAATTCATCTTTATGCTCCTCGAACCACTCTAACACAATTTGAGCCTTGTGACATGGAACATTGTTCTGCTGAAAAATCCTATTTCCAGTTGGGAAAGACGGATACCATGTTAGAGTGCAACTGATCTGCCATTATGTTCAGGCAGCTTTCTTGGTCTGATCTACCATAACTAAAGGTCCCAGAGCCTCCTATGAAAACATCCCCCAAAGCATAATACCGCCATCACCAACCTGTGTATGACCTGCTGTGCAGGAAGGAGCAACTGTTTACCTGGAAGACAGCGATTAACATGATGAATGAGAAAACATGATTCATGCGACCAAGCAACTGTCTTCCCCTTATCCATGGTCCAGTCTCAATGTTCCCGTGCCCACTTTAGGCATAATTGACAATGATGCTTTGTCAACTGAGGCACATGTGCGGGACATCTGCTACATAGTTCCGTATTCAACAGCATCAAATGAACTGTGTATTCCAAAACACTTGCACTTGGAGTTGCATTGTATTGGGCTGTCAGCTGAGCTGCTGTCTAAGTCTGGTTTTGCTGTACTAAGTGGATCAGTCACCAGTGTCATTTTGCTTTGATGATGCATGGACTTCCAATACCTTGGCATTCCCTGCTGGGTTCACCATCATTTATGCACTTTGCACAAATATTACTCGTAACAACAGCAGATCATAAACAACCTACCAGCCATGCAGTTTTGAAGATAGTCGTTCCGAGTCTACAGGCCATTACAATCTGCCATCTATCAAATTCACTTAAATCTGCAGCCTTTCCCATCACTGGCAAATGTAAGCGCTAGAATTATTCCTTACCTTCTCTAGTGGCAGTTAAATACTGTTTCCACTTAATCACGTGTCCTCCACATCATCCAGATGAGTTAATTGAAAAATATGGACATAGTCATAATGTTTTGGCTTGTCAGTATATATATATATATATCTATATATACATATTGGATTTCGATATATCACTAATTTTTATTTTCACACATATCCGATTAATTTGGCAGACACATATTCAATCATAATTAAATATGATAAATTTCTATGTAGACTGTGCAAAAAAAAAAAAAAAAAAAAAAAAGGAAAAAAAAGACACTTCTATATCTCCTGTTCTGCGCAGCTCTGATTGAAAAAATTGCGTTTTTCATGTCTCGAAAACGCAACTTAGGATATGTATTAGATTTATATATTGCATTGTTCTAATATAGGTGTTTTGACACAAAAGCAGACTTTTTCTGAAATAACATACCAATTTTTTTCCGTATTTCGTTTCTATGACTCAAATTACACCAAAATACAAATTACCAAGTGCTATTAATTTCGTTTTGGCATTTTTGTGTTGATTCACTATAAACGATGAAACACATTTCAAATTGTTGCCACCAAATATTATCACCCTGTACTACATTTAAAGAAATTAAATAATGAAGAATCTGCATAAATGTATGTATGTTTTTCACATTGTGATAAAATAACGGTACCTAGAGCCATCAAATTTTGAATAGCATACATCTCCACCCAAATATGGACATCTGGAAGCCCAAATTTGGAATTTGTTTATTATCTATTTCATATCTTGTAAAGCATTTGTGAATTTTTGATTAAGAAGCTCAACTATTTCATAGCGAGTAACGGCAACATTTGTATGGAGAAAAAAAAGATTTATCTCCAGCCTGTGAGACTGTGTATCAGAAATTCTAAACATATTCTCTTTTAAATGTTTTGTAATATTGCTGTTGAATTGAATTTTATGGTTTAAGTGTGAAGAACATGATATTTAATAAATAAAGGTAACACAATGTTAAAAAAACACCCTAAAAAATCTGAAAGCTGCTTTTTTTTTTTTTTTTTTTTTTTTATCCAGCTAAGAAAAGCAGGTGTAAAGGATATTTTTAAGCTCCATAACATTTTTGAAGTTCTTTAGCATTGCTTCGAATCAGAAATTTGAAAAATGTATCTGTATATATGTATGTTAAACATATGTAATTCAGAGATGTATAAATGATATTATACTATTAATTTTTAGTGTGCATTTAAATTAATATTTTTTTCTGTTATTAAATCTTTCACAGTTGAATATATATTCTTGTGACAAACTAGATTTATTTAATTTCCTTCAATTCCTAAAAATTTCTCAACATGCTTGCACACTTAGGATATTCTGACTCTATATTTTGAACAAGAACAAAATTCAGTTAATTATGCATTCTGCAAAATCATAAATTTATGGTTTAGCATGCAAGCATTTATTTTACTGCATTGTATTATTAAAATTTCAAGAGTGAATAAATTAAAAAATTACTTAGCGAAATCTTATTTTGTATTAAAATCATAGGTAGTAACTATAAGAGGCTTTTGTAAATGTTATTACAATATGCAAATGTTTTAAATTTTTTTAAAGGTTCCGTTCCATATTCATAAACACTCTTGGATTCCGTAGAGCTGAGCATGCTCTTAAGCTAGGAGCAATGTTTACTGCTGAACAAGCATTAGCTTTAAATATTGTAAATGAACTAGTAGATTCTCCTTCAGATCTGATGTCTAGAGCCCATGATGAATTAGACAAATGGCTGAAAGTTCCAGGTTTTGTATTGTTTCTTTTCTATATCTAAACAAATCAGAATATCTGTAGAATTTGTAGTGTTGATCTTCCTTAAATGCCATATGATTATTATAAACGGGGCTGTGGAGTTAGTATGGGAAATGACAGACTCTGACTCCTGGAGATTTAAAGACTCCGACTCCCTCATATATATGTAAACATATACACATGGGTTGCAGCTTATTTTTTTATAAAAGAAGTAATAGATGCTACAGAAAAAAAAATTGATGACATAGCAAATTATTTAAATTAATTAGCATTTATTATGAAATGTTTTTTTATCATCAGTGGTGAACTTTTTGATGAATTTGATCACCAATAGTAAACTATCTGACAAAATTTTAAAATTTTGGAAAATCTCTGAGATAGCTCACTGTATTGCCAAATATAATTAGATTTGTATATTTTTTATTTCTTATTCACGCAGATTTAGCAGTCAGCCTTTTTAACATTATATACTTTTAAGTAAGAAAAGCATTTTTTGCTACTTTTTGAATTGTTTTACTTCAAATAATTTCACTGTTTTACTGGAGCACTTCCTCAGTTTTTGCAGTAAAATAGTATTTTTCATTTACGTGATTTGGATGGAGGGATAGAATGGATTCTACACCTTCAAAATAAGCTACTATTCAGTTAACAGCTAATTTCTTGTCAATGAAACAAAGAAAATGTTTTTGGTTATCAAATGCAACTTTGTGCTATGAATACTCCTTTTCCTATAGTTTTGTTTTGATCAAGAAAATATTAGCACAGCATTACACCTTGTGAAACTATGTAATCTGTCCTTTGAAGTAAATTATAATCAATTCTTTACACTTTATTTATATCTAGTTTTTATTAAATGCAATTTTCTGTTGCTATTTGTAAATATTTCTTTTTCTACAGGTTTCAAATAACTTTATTTTAACTTGCACTCAAGTTTATTCCCAAGTCTAAAATTTAATGAGGTAGTAGATTAGACTTTTAATTATGCCTGTAATTGGAAATTTAAATTTATATAATGTGGTATAAATATTGTTTCAAGATTGCACAGCAAGGCATTTGAAATTAATAAATTTAATGCAAGAAGTTATCTAACTGAAATTTCTTATTTCCAACATTTTAAAGGAATATAAAAGTCCAAGAGAAATTGCAGTTGCCAAAGTAGTAGAGAAAAAAAACCTCAGTTGAAAAGACTGGTCCATCAGTATTTTTTAATTCTTCATTTTAAGTTACTGTTTGTTGACAGTCAAAATATATATATTTTGTATGTTATTTTTTCGTTCATTATCTTATATTTTTACGGCATGAAACAAGTAGTTTGGCAACTTTCAAAATTTTTAGAACTGCATTTTCAAATTGCCAAATAATGATGTATCACCAAATCTGATCATTTTGCCCCCAATTTGTTAACTTTTTATCCATGGAATATTGACTGTTAATTCATGTTCTGTTATGTATTTCTAGATAAATATATATATGACTTGCATTCCCCCCCTCTTTTTTTTACTAATTTTGTCCTACAAAGTTGAGAGAAAATTATGCAACTAAAGTAATTTCCTAAGGATGTGGCTACAGAAATAATATAACAAATGAATAGTGTTTGTGGATAAATTATCAATGAGTATCACAATAATATTTATTTAAAAGAAACATACATTCCAGTTAGAATATGTAGTAATATTAACATTACAGTATCTAATAAGGTATTTTATTTCTACTTTCTATCTTGAAATTTGCCTATTCTTATTATTGTCTTCTGCTATATCCTGGGAAAACTTCAGTGCTGCTGGAACTGCTATATCATGGGGTACAGTTTGCAGATTTTTACCATCATCTTGGTCACCATTTAGCCTGTCTGCCTCTGTGTAATGATCTTCAAAACCATCATGGTATTAGATAATACCTTTTCTTGAATCCGTTTGCAATTATTGTTTCACTTACTCAGAGCCCATGGTCTGAAAACCAATGGCAAGTCAATTAGTAAGATGAAAGCAACTGCTAAGTGGACAAATTCATTTTTAAATTTATTTGAACTTGCTTTCTGAATGCCTTGATGAAAGGGAAAATTGCATGGATGTTTAAAATTTTCAGAACATTGTGCTAAGCTGGGGGAGGGAATACACAAGAGGAGGAAACTTTTTTCAAAGAAAAATTGGGAGAGTTGAAGGCAGAAAAACCTTAAGAGATCTACCAAAAATATAAGAATTGTGGACATTTACATGATCAGTGCAATAATTTCATAATTCTGGTATGCTACATATTCTCTTTCATCACTTATGTCATTGGTCTCAAACTGACGGTTCACATGTGGCCCACGAAGGGGTTTCAACTGTGTATTTAGTACAGATATTTTGAGATTTTAGTTATATGAAGTTGAATTCATATTATTTCCATTTCCACTAAAAGCAAACTTGAATAACTCACCAGAAAACCTATAAATAGAGTTAATTAATTTATGGTGTGATACAAATCCTGTTCAGTGATTTGAAGATGTAGATTTGATTAACTTTTATTCTTAAAAATTTAAATAAGCTTAAGTAAGAATTTTTGCACGAAAACTAATTGTTTTGTTTGGAATTACCCTTACATATAATCAACTGTTTTCATAGTTGAAATTTTATAAGAAGAGAACCCAGTTGACTATGAGCATTTACAATTTGTGATAAAGATAATTTCTAGTACTTTCTCTCCAAAGCCGCAAATTTTATCAAAATCGAAATCACATCAATTCTAAAGCTGTGAAGTAAGAAATAAAGAAATTAATAACTATTTACATACACACATGTACATTTTTATTTATGCACTAAAGAAAAATTTAAGAAGAGAAAGAAACTAAGTTGTTGTAATTTATTCTCAAGTTTTATCCCACCCGGAAATGTTTCTCTGAAAATTTAGAAAGTTTACATAATGGCTTCAGAAATAGACAATCCTCATCAATGTGAATAAATCAGAAGCCCTTATTGAACAAAACATCAAAATGTATTATTTATTTCATGGGCCCAGCACATAAAGTATCTTGGTCCTGTAATTGATCACCCTTTTGAGCGCCCACCTCAATATGGTAGAGGGGCTGAAATGTTCCCACGATGGAAGACAGCTAACAGGCCTACCACCATGCTGCAGGCAGTCTCCTAACATGAAGGAGTAAACAGCTTTCTTGATGGTACATCCAAGCATCAAACTCACAAGGATGTACTTGATAGTGAATATGCTGCTTCGACCCGGCTATGCTCATATAATGGGGTCATCTTGTTGGTGCAGGTCTGCAAGCTGATGATAGATCGTTACTATTGTCTTGAGACCAGATAATTCCAAAAATGTTATAATTGACCCAAAATTGGCATGGAAGCTCCACATTGGCACATGTAATTTATGTTACACATTGCCAAATATATATACAATCTCACCTGGAACTCTGTTTTATCTGTTGATATTAAGTCACTCATTTATATAACCTTATTGTGACCTATAATTACTTACACCTATCCTATAAGTGGATTTGCCAGTCATATGCATGTTAGTAAGTTCCACATTATGTAAAATGTTACACTAAGGCAGATTACGAATGGCCACTGGTTCATGAATAATCTTTCAATCCACGACAAACTCAAAGCGCCACAAAGTAAAACCTATATGGCAAAATTAGCAAAGAAATTCTTTAGAGACATCATTAAAATAAATAATAAAAGTATTCCTAATCTTGACTACAAGATCAACAATCAGATTAACACCAAAAGACTTTATTCATTATTAAGAGCACTGAATTAATTTTTTATTCTCTACACCTTAATTAATTTATTTTTTATTCTTAAAGCATTGCTTATTCTTGTATATTGCTTCGTTGCCTTAAAATTTTATTTACAAATTCTTAATGTTTAATTTTCTTAATAGTTCACCCCTTTCCCCGATTTTGGTTCATCCTATCCAAAATAATGTACGAGTCTGAATATCCTTTCCATTCAAATTTGCCTGCAAATAGCATTTCTACCATCTCTTCCAGTCTTCTTGCTCCTACAAGTCACCTGTCCAGATGCTCCTGTCTTTTGCCGACTAATGGCTCTGCCTCCACAGCAGATTTTTAGCTAGACTCTTGAAAGGCCTGAAATGATTTTGGATACAACTGCTTATCAGTTTTACATATTCAGTGCTTAAAAAATATTTTGCTTATCCTAGTAATGCTCTTGATTTTTCATGTTCTACATATGAGATAGAGCACAGCTCTGGGACCTGCAAATGTGACTTCATCACCTCACCAGAAAGGAAGGAGAAATCTGTCAAATCATGCAAAAGAATGCATAAAAGTATAAAACTAATGGAATGATATAGCCTAGATAAAAAGAAATAATTTGTGCAGTTGCAGCTCCAAAAATAGGGAAAACAACTAATATAGTGGAAAAGCTTCAAGGCATATCAGATTTAAAGAATAATTGTCACAATTCCAAGTCAATACCAACGTTTCTTAGAATTCTGCTTTGGGTTACCATCTTCAAGTAGTAGATGCGGGCAGAAATCGTTGTCACATGTGTCATTGAAAAAAGGTTTTAATTATATAACTATCTCCCGATTGATTGAGATATCTGCAATACACATGCTAAGACACTACATCTTCTCTTTGAGTAATGCATTTAAAATGTTGCATATGAGAATCCATTCTTCAAACTTAATTAACAAAAGTAGTTTCTAGAAGCTGTCGCAGATAGTCTTTGATGTTGCTTAATCAGATAGGTTCATCAGAGATGATGGTAATGAAAACACAATGCATTTTAGTACAAGTAGTGGGGGAAATTACAATCTAGGAAAAAAGAGAATCATTATTTGTATCTGTCAAGTTTTTACAACTACATCTATCTGTCAAGTTTCTGTGGCTGTCTCAGTTTTGAAAATCAGGTTTGGCATTTTCTGTAGCTGATATGAAATGCTTAAATTACAACAATATTTGACTGTTTAGATTGATGCATTATAATTTTTTATAGATTGCTGAACTATCTGAAACTTGTATCTTGATTCACTAAGTCGTAATTTTCTTTATTCACTGATTAAAATAAATTCTGAGTGATATTTCTGCTTTACCTTTTTTCATAAAAAAAAAAAAAAAAATCCTTCAGATTTCTTTTGTAAACTGAAGGTAATATCAGTATAAACATTCATAAAAGTTTACTTGTAAAAGACATTCACCCATAAAACAAGGTTATACCTATATTTTTTTTTTCAATTACTTTATGGTGTATAGCTACATTTAGTAATGAAATCCTTGGATGTATCTTCACTTTATTTCTCATCAAATTTCATCCCTAACACATATGGAATCTTGCATATTGTGGCACAAAAAAAAAAATAAATAAATAAATAAAACAGGCAGAAAAATGAATATCTTTTCTTATTTTCTGCTTCAAGCAAAATTAAAAAATTAAGTACTCAGGTTTTTTTTTTTTTTCCCTCCCCTGTTAATCTGTATGAGTTTGGTAGATAGTGTTGTTTCTGAATTGGTTTTAAAAATTTGATGTGACATTATACAGTCAAAAGTCGTTAATTCGGACACCCATAATCCAGAATGATCTATAATCCGGACTTCAAAGCTAAAAACTTTCTGCGCATGCGCCGCTTTGATACTTGCGCATAGGCGTTTACGCGTGCGCGTAAGACCTTTTACCACTGTGCATATGCATGTGCGCAAGCGCAGAATACGTTTTTGCGTGCATGTTTTATGTATAACGGACGGCATAATCTAAAATTATCTAATTATCTATTTTCAGTTAATGTTGATGATTGCGTTGTTCCTTAATCTTCGAATTGGATCCGGATTATTAATTTTGCAGACTGTAAGAGCAATTTTATAAAAGTAAACTTGAACTTTCGATTATGTCAAATAGAATTTCCGATTCTGGAGCTCCCAAAGGATCGTACAAAACGAAAGTATGTTTCGATGTCCATCAAACAAAAAGTGAAATTGCTGCAAAAAATGGATAAAGACATGAAGAATGTGACAGAGAGGTTAGTGAAAACGAAAAAATTTCGATTGACAAGTTAGTCGGTATTCTCGACACAACAATTAACGGGACTTGAACAGCGGAACTTTGTAACTGAACAAGAAATTGTGTCTGTTTATAGAATTAAAGAGAAAGTATTATCACATAAAAACGAAGCAACTTAAAACAACTTACATTGAAAGAAATGTTTAATAAAGTAAACAAATAAATATTAAGCTTTTTTTTTTGTAAATTTTGATACCCTTTAGATTATAAGTGATCTTTATTTCATAAATTAAGGTTTCATATTTTTAATTTTAGAATTCCTGCATGCCATCTTCTGAGATTTAAAGTGATGATCTATAATCCGGAAAAATCGATAATCCGGAATCGCCGAAGTACCGACGAGTCCGAATTAACGACTTTTGACTGTATAGCAGTTAACAGTTATTTACAGTGTTTATTTTCTGAGTAATGAGATACCATTTAATAATTTAAAAAGTTGTAATGCCATTACATAATTCCTATTTTGTTTTAGTGAATCATTGCATTTCATTGAGTTTATTTTAGTATTTTCTCTCTTTTATTTCCACTTCCAATTATTTTTTAGAGGCTGCACGTCAGATGACTAAAATTAGTCTGCGGAAACCTCATGTGGAAGAACTGCTTTCATATGAAAAGGAGGAGGTAGAAGAAGTAGTACATTTTGCTAATTTGGAAGAAACTCAAAAAGCTTTAGGACATTATTTTGAAAGTTTAAAAAGTAAGAAGTAACTGAAAATGCAGCCATGTGATATGTTGAGGCCATTAAAACATTGTATGAGCTTCTGAAGTTTGGTATTTTCAGTAATTTGAAAGAAAAAGATGCAGCAACAGATGCTTTAATTCTGCACTAATACTTCTATTTTCTTATTTCATGTATGTTTTTATAATAACAAAAATATTTAAGGGTATAATAAAGCATTTTTAGGTTAACATAAAGTAATTAGCATGTTATTTTGTCGTACAGCAGCTAAAAGGTATAATGAAATTTGTTTTATGCAATCAGTTTTATTATAATTATTCAGTTTAAACACATTACTAATATTTAGTAGCTATTGTAGATCAACAGGAAATTTTTATTAAGTGTTATAATAAATTCTTGTTATTAATTCATATTTGTAGTAGATCAAATAACTTTGATTGCATGTTGTAATTGTTATAAAAAATTAGGTTTTTTTTATAATGAATTGATATATATTTTCTAATAAAAACTATTTTTACCTTTACATATAAAAAGTTGCCTTAATTCTTCACTCAGTTTATTTGCAAAAAAATTATTAGTACTTTAAGATACTGTTTTAGGAAAATTTTTAAATCTGATGTATTAAATCATTACATCTGGTATCTTTTTCTAAGATAAAGTTTGAAAGGGAAAATCCTGTTTATAATACAATACATGTTGTACTGCCCATAACCCGAGAAGGAGAAGGAAAAGCCTAGCCAGCGGAATAATTAGTCCGACGGAGCAGGTGGTTCGTTGGACGGAAGTAGAAAGGACGAACAAGAAGACAAGGGGGGCGAAGAGGACTTTGCACCCTGGTTGTCGGACGGGACGGTCGGAGTTTTTTTTTTTACTTAATAATATATTGTAGTTGACTGCGGTAGTCGTGCCGAGACAGATAAGCATCGTTGTATTATACCGTAGCGTAGGGTTCAGTTGCTTCACACATGTCACCGTCGATCAACGCATAGATGACACCCATTTTTCATTTGTTCAACAATAAACTTTAATAAGTAAACAATTCTTGATTATTATACATTATATATACAAGCATGAATAGGTAAGGCCGGCATGGTCTCCGCCGGATGAGAAAAACAACTTCTGCATCACGAAAGAGAAATGGCGATTCTCTTCCCGCCAAAAAAAAACTCCGGACCGTCCCGTCCGACAACCAGGGTGCAAAGTCCTCTTCGCCCCCCTCGTCTTCTTGTTCGTCCTTTCTACTTCCGTCCAACGAACCACCTGCTCCATCGGACTAATTATTCCGCTGGCTAGGCTTTTTCTTCTCCTTCTCGGGTTATGGGCATTACACATGTGATACAATGAACATTATGCAACTTCATTGTTGTTTTATAATGTTGCCAACATATTGTGCAAGTTTTGTATTTTTATGATGATCTTAATACTATTTGGCAGGTGAATTGATTTTCCGTAAAAAGTTACTTTTATTTAACATCATTTTTATTAAATTCAGTGTTTTACTTGTTTAGTTATTTGATTTACAGCAAAGCACAGAAGGGCTGTGTGCCTATGTTAAAAGGATGCTTTTGGAAATTTTTTTTTTTTTTTTTTTTTTTTTTTTTTTTTTTTTTTTTGTAGAGGAAAACTGGTTCATATTTACATTATGAACAGAAAACTGCAGAAATGCCTCTGCAGCTACCTTGAAACTGAGTTGCACTAGCAGTGCTCAACAGTCTTATCTCTTTTTTGACTGGTGGTCTTAAATTCATCAGAAAAACCGATTAATGTTTACTGTATGAAGTTTCCTCAGTTTTGTATGAAGTTTTCTCAGTTCATGTTATTTAATTATGAAAATACTTTACTAATGTTATGATGTGAGTGTTATCAATTCGTTTAGTAAAATATGGCTTAAAATAGTTTATTTTATATATTTGGTGCTCCCTTCAATTGATAACTGAGAGGTTGATAACTCAGAGAGCTGCAGTAGAAGAAATGAGTTGTGACTACTGAGTGTTTGGTCAGAGACTAGGTGCACAATATTCTGGAGACAAACCTGTGAAATCTTTGTCTTTAGAAGACATTCCTATATCAGATCCTCAGTAAAACATATCAGTCCCTTTTCTTTGTTTATCTTTGACATATAACCATAACATCTCTTAACTAAAAATTATATTCTAATAAAGACCACTATTTTAAAAGACTTTATTATTTCCCAAGAAGGACTAATAGTTTTGATAAAATTTGTGTGCAGTATTATTATTTCTAAGGGTAAATTAATAGTATTTAGTTAATTGATTGAACAAGAAATAATCTGGATTTTAATAAGTAAAAAATCATAGTGTACTCATATCATATGTCTGCCATTGTTTGTTGCCATCAAATGAGCCTTTATCTATTTTTCCTAAAAGATGTCTTGAATTTGTCTTAATTGTACACTTAAATTGGCAGTATATATACATATGTGTATGTGTGCTTGAGAGATATAAAATATGAAGGAAATATGAAGTTTAATTTAGCAGTAGTCCTTTTAATTACTCATTTTAATTTGTGCCCTACCCCAGAATCTGAAATACACCATCTCAAAAACTAATTATCAAAAGTTTAAAATGTATAATAATTTTATTAATCTTGCAATGTGCTAAGCTCTTGTCAAATGACTGTTCAAAATTTTAAACAAAGAAACCAACTCTATAAGTAATCTGTTTGAAATGCACACACATTTTGCTCTCCATCCTATTTTAATTTTTCTGTAAGTAGAGAAGAATTCTACATAAATAATTAGATTCGTATGTGCTTTGTCATTCTGTAAGATTTAACAGTAGCAGCATTTGTAGCTGAGATAGTAAACACAAAACTATTTCATTTGTATGCAAGATAAGCTGTAATTGGAAAGTTAATCATAGTCAACTGGCTTCAGTAATTCAGCTTAACCAATTGATGCATTTAGTTGAAAGAGCCAAAGAGAATAATTTTTATTTTTTGGAGATTTATTTATTCATTTATTACCCCTACTTTTTTTTTTTTTTTTTTTTTTTTTTTTTTCCCCTGAGTCAACGAAATATGCAAGGACTGTCTACCTAAAGAAACAGACAAACAAAATTGAAAGCATTTGCTCATTTTCAGTGATTAGCATTATATACTGATTAAAGCAATAATTAATATATATTAATTACACTATCTATTATTTTTATATATTGAAAATTATAAAGTATCAATTTTTAATTAGCTTCAGCCAATTATACCTCCCATTTTTTTCCCATAGTCTTAACAAATTGTAACTTCCATCTTCAGTGCAAAGGCATACTCATATGAAATTACATCTCTTTTACATCAGAATCACTGCTGCCAGGCTTAATCACTAGATGTTATATAAGCCTACCCTTCTTTAAGTAAGAATTCTTGAGTTTTCCCATAAGTGACAGTGTGCTTGCTATTTAGGGAAATCATTTTATCCATAGCTTGATACTATAAACTCATTATCTAAATTCATGTCACCAGTTATGTTTCTCTCTTTAATCAGAACTGGTGACCAAATGTATTCAACTGCATTTAGATCATAAGGGAAGGGAGGAACCCACACAATATCATGCTTGTTCTCTTTTATGATATAGTCGGTTTTAGAGATTTTTCTCGGATGATTTTACTCTCTAAGGGGAAATATTTCTGATTTTTTTCATTTTTGGATTGCAGCATATCTCCTTATATTTTATCATATTTTATGGACACTACATTTTCAGGTTTCATGCAATATGAAGCATCATTCATGAATGCCATAATTTTAAATGTAGAATAGTTTTCTGTACAGGAACTAATTTCATAATAGTTCATATACCATATATTCTGGCATATAACATGCACATATAATTTCGAACTACTTTTTTAAATTTTTAGGTATAGTAACTGTATAACGCAAACTCTTTTCCTTAGTAATAAGCCTGGAAAATCCATATGCAATGCTCTTAACTTTTGAAGCCATTTGAAGTTTTGCCAGGTTTTCAAATAATGGTTTACTGAATTCACAAGCTTTAGAGGGAACTATATGTGTTGGAGGACAGTGCTTGAGGGAGTAAACAATTATACAAAGAGGTGGATTATATTAATTTCAGGTGTGCACAAGAATATTATTCTAGGATTTAGAGAAAAGAGGGACATAAAACAGGTAAGAATGAATTTCCGACCCACATGAATTCGTAGAATTAAGAATCGGATGTTATCTCTCTCTAGTTTTTTTAAGTGCACATCGAAGGCTTTAATATTTTGCATTTGCTTTGGTTGAAATACGTTTGATCTAGTGTTCCTTTTAGTATTAAATATGGCTCCAGACAAACGAAAGAAACACAATGCTGGTTTTAATGCAAAGTCATTCAGTTTGCTAAGGAAAATGGAAATGCTGCAGCAAGGATGTTTGGTGTTGGCGAAAGCTTCATCCATAAGTGGACAAAAAATTAAATTACAGTACAATAATTAATATTCCAAAGAATAAATGCGCTTTGAGTAAAGTATAACGAAATGGATTATCCAAGAAGAAAATGTTGTGTACTCAGTCTTAGATAATCGCCAGAATGGATTAATTGTAAAAAGAAACAACATATGTTTATTTGCTTTAAAGTGGGCAAAAAAGAATGCAAATGAAAGTGAACACTTTAAAGCAACTGTGAGTTGATATAGTCAATTTATGGCATGGAATAATTTAGTTCTGGGGGGGGGGGGGGGGGGAAACGAAAGTTTTGCAAAGGCTTCCAAAAGATTTGGACAATAAATTTGGTAAATTTCCAAATGTATGGCTATTGACCTACGAAAGCAAAATACATGTATGTATATTTACTGTCACATATTGGAAATAGGGATGAAGCTGCAGTAATGTTTGATATGATAGGAAATAAAATGTTTGATGTGAAAAGAACATAAATGGTTCACATAAAACAACAGATCACTAAAAATCTCACCTCAGTATAAGTGCTTTCCTGTTTAACAGTAATGGGGTTGGTGAAACAGAATTTTTTTATCTCTTTGAAGAAATAACAGAAAATGAATATGATGAACTTTTCATGTTATCCAATGACAAAAACTTTTAAGTTCATAAGGTATGTCAATTCTTTTAAATAAACAGCATTAGGTACATTTAATTTAATAGGTAAATCTAATTTTCATATGCTCATCTTTTCCTTATTTTTAAATCTATCATTTTTATATCCAGTGTATGACATGTACCCGTAAATTTTAATATTTTTTTTAATATATATATTAAGTGTGTGCA